TGTGTGTGTGTGTGTGTGTGTGTGTGTGTTTTTGTTTGTGTTTGTATGTGTGTCTGTGTGTCTGGGCTTGTATTCGTCCGGATACACCGCTGACGCCACGACACTGACATCGAGATGGTGAGAAATCCGGCTTTTTATAACTGATTGCACCAAATGGATGATGAAGATAGCAAGTTGTCTCGAAACTTCTTTAGCCGTAGTCATCTAACAACTGTTATTTCACTACACTACTGAACGGAACGAATGGAAGAAAAATAAAACCTAAAAAATTTCTAAAATGAAGGATGAAAAGATCTCCAACAGGACCATTCTGAATTGCAAGACAACGGTTCCTGGTTATTGGCGTCATCAAATTAACATCTTTGCTACAAGAATAAATTCGCTGAAATTTACCTAAAAGCAGACGATACCGCGGGATAATAAAAGGTAGCAGGTTGTTCGCGAAATGATTACGGTGAAAAACCAAATGATTGCACTGAAGTTTATTCAAAATTCAAAAAAGAAAAAAAGCAAAGTTCATGAGAATTCGGATCATCTTTTTTCAAATTTCGTTGTGGACGGCAACCTTCATAGTTAAACGGGTGCCGTATCGAACCACCTATTAAAAAGGAAAAAAACAATGGATTTTCTTCTGCTATAATTGTCTTCAACACAAGGAAATTTTTGATAAAAGATCATGCAAAAAAGGAGGGAAAATCAGAAGACCAAAAAATTTTTCTGCAAAAATTTTGAAATTTTATAGCTCTGAAAAGAAAACTTTTCAGAAGAAAGCGGTTTGTGGAATAACCTTATATGCAAAAACCAATACCGATAAATGACCATTAGTCGCTTAGCTGTACCAGTTGAACAGCTGAAGTAATCAAGTTTGTCAGAGAATTCAGTGTGGATCAGCAGTTACGTTACTGTTTTTAACAAAACTTAGTTTAGTGTTAAGTAACTGCCAAAAGTTCCCTGAAGAAGCATTTTTGCATAATTTCTTTGCTAATCGTTAATATCAATGATTTAAAAAACGAAAGAAGTCTGTGCAAAATTCTGACAAAATGCTGGAAAAAGTGATACGGAAAAGGCAAATGTTTAAAAAGGAAAAATTTTTCGGTCTTACTCTTTTTTTTTGTGCTGCAAAAAAGCAGGTTTTTTTTTTCGATTTCTAAAATACTGGCCCTGTTGACTCTTGCAAAAGCAGTAAGCTTTTCCCACTAACCGGGCGGTTTTTTAGCCTAAACACTGTAGGTGAGAAGGAAAAGGGTGGAGAGAGGAGTGAGAGACAAAGGGAAGAATAAGGAGGTGTGGAGGAGATGAGAAAAGGTAGACCATGATAAAAATAAAACTTTGAAAAATCCATAAATCAAAAAAGTCACCGAGAAGAAAGTCTGAAAATCAGAAATATTTCTATTAAAAAATCGAGACTATCATCAAAAGTAAATTTAAAAAAATGTAGTGCAGCTCTTCCGGCAGTTCAATATATTCGGAGATCAAATACAGTAGCAGCTAAAGTTTTACCGAAATTTACGGAAAGAAATAAATTCAATAAGCGTACCAAATGATGAATTAAGAGAAAAAATTAGAAAAAAAGAATGAATAATGGTAAGAACTGAAGATAACAGCTTATATAAGGTGTATGTCCAGGGTTCTAGGACATCAGAAAGTAAAACAGAATAGAACAGTTGAAAAAATACCTAGAACACTTTTCTTTTACTTTTGAAACTTTCTAGACTCATTACACAGTTTGTTTTCAAAAAATCAGCTTAAACTTGAGTCTTTCCTCTCTTTCCAACCGAAATGGCAACCAAAGTATACTAGTAGAAAAAGTGCGAAGTGAAGAGACAGGAAAAGAGAGTGAAGAAAGGTCAGGCATAGCCGACTTGGTAATTATAAAGGAATAATCCTGCGTGTCTTAGTGTTGCAAAAGGTCATCAACTTTTGTGTGTGGATTTTCCGATTCTTAGGACTAGAAACTGTCTTAATTTTCAGTATTCTGTGGTGTTTCATATGCGATACTTCTTGGAATCAACAAGTCCGTTTGCTGAAATTCTGGGTAGCTGGTTGACTGTTGTTGTTGCTGTTGCTGCTGCTGCTGCCGCTGTTGCTGTCGTTGTTATTATTTTCGTTGCTTTTGCTTGTGGAAGCAAAAACTGGAGTGTGCAGCAAAGTCAAATGAGTAATATCATCATCAAAAACCGTTTATTAATTTTAGATTGTCTGTGAGGTTGTTTAAGACCTTTTTTCAAATGAAAAACTTTTTTTTGAAGAGGAGTCTTTTGTTAAGAGAAGAGAAGAAAAAACTGAAGAGTGTGATATTTTTTGTTGCTGTACCACCATCCTTCTTTTTACTCGTTCCCTGTTCCTCTTCTCTCTAATTTTTCGCTAAAACCGCACAAAGCCGACAGCAACAACAACAACAAAAACAAAAAAAATCTTGTCTTCTGACATACAGCACAAATGATCCTAGCCCAAACTAACTAACTAATTATACTTACGTTAAGAACGTGCAGAAAATGCTCGGGTTTTTGCATTTGGTCCCAAAAGATTAGAAGTTCATATCAGAATCGTCCTACTATGTCGTCAAGGCTAAACAAAGCAAAAACCGATAAATTCCTTTAATTTGTTAGAATTTATTTATTAAAATACAGCTGTCAAACTTCTCGAGAGACCAAAGGCTGGCCATCCAAGTAAACAATGTGCATCCATCCTACTTAACAATATTCGGGCTAAAACTACTTGATAAAAAATTTTTCCACTCTTTTTTCCTCAGGAAAAATTGAAGTTGCTTTAACATTATAACAGAGGGGGAAAACAGAGTGATGAGGTGTCATACATAATACTCCTAAAACAGAAAATATCGTTCCTTAATCACGGTAATTCGAAGACCGCTAAGTTTTTTCCACTTCATATTCCTCCGCATACACTTTCCAAAAATGAGTGGAAAAGAGCAAGAAATGCGGAGAGAAGGCCAACAGGTAAAGAGATGAACAGTGAAAAGGAAAAAGTGAAAATTAATTAATAACATTCTGTAAATTCTGATCCCGTTCCTTCCCACTGCTTATCAGATTTACAAATTTTCTGTGGACGATAATGATTGGAAACCATAACCAAAACCAAGAAACAAATAAAAAAATTGGAAGGTTAGAGATGCTTATATGCAACTAACAAAAGCTTCTGTTCTTCAAATCAAATTTCAGAATTATTTAGCAA